CACCGCCTGCTGTACCAATTACACAATCAAACTTTAAGAGCTTTGCTAAGTGCTCAGGCCTGTGATACACATAGACCTTGCAATCTAAGTGTTTAAAATCAAACAGGAGAGAGAACACATGATTTAGAAAGTTGTATTTTTTTGGACCCGATTCTACTAGTGATTCCCCAAAGGTGGGCAATCACTTAATATTTCTTCCCCTTCAGTTTCTCAATTATAAAACTAGGGAATCAATGGAGTTGTTATCTCAGGTTAAAATTTGCAAATATTCCAATAATGCATCTAAAATATAATGAATTACCTGGGACTAATGGTTAAATGCAGATTTGATTCCATAGGTCTGGGGAGAGGCCTGAGAGTTTACATCTCTAACAACTCCAAGGTTGTGGTCCCAGGCCTATGCTTTTGAGTGCCAAACTCTAATATACATGATCTCATTTAATTCCCCAAATATCCTCTAATATAGCTCTCCTTAGCCTTATTTCACTGACCCAGAAGTGACTTGTATCCAGGGTTACACCGATTAAAAAGTGGCAAAGCAGGAATCTCAACAAGGTCTTTTTACTTGTCATTTCCAAGATGTTTAATGTCCCTTTCAGTTTTAAAATGCTATAATTAGAAATTATTGCCACATTCATATAAAGTGAACAGAATCACAAGATTGATAAAGATAAGCTGCTAATGAAGTTCAGAAGAAGGGATTGCTTTACATAGGGCAGGGGCCTGGGAGTCAATGAAGAAATCACAGAGGAGATTTGCCATCAGCCTTGAAGGATAGTTAGAATGAAGGTAAGTTAAGATGGAGAGAATGTAAAAAAATAGGTAAGCATAACATGGCATGATCAGAGCATATGCCAGTATAGACAAAACCTGTGAGGAGGGCAGGACAGGCCTCATGAATTTTCTTTTCTTTTTTTTCTTTTCTTTTTTTTTTTTTTTTTTTTGAGACACAGTCTTGCTCTGTCACCCAAACTGGAGTGCAGTGACATGATCTCGGCTCACCGTGACCTCCCTTTGCCAGGTTCAAGCGATTCTCCTCATTCATAGAACATGACAGTTAGTTTCTTATTGCTATCCATGTTACTACTTTGTTTTAAGAGTTGGATAAAGTTTGATAAGTAGAATGACCTCTCTTTCTAATTTGCTTCTCCTAAGTGGATCTCCTGAGAACAGCTTTGGGACCCCCAACCTCAGGCTCTCCATGCATCTCTTGAGGTGTTCTGTAAAATGCCAGCTGTATGGTATGTGCCCACAGAAACAACAAGTTAATTCTCTCTTTTTGAAATTGTGACTCCCACTCTCCCCCAGTTCTTCTAAAAGTTTCCTTTTAAAGAAAAGCCATGGTTCACTGCCACTGAAAATCAAAGACAACAGCATAAAGGTCAAGGTCCAGGCTGGTGCTAGCGATGACAGAACATTAAAATAATCACTCGAATTTCCTTCCTTGAAAATTGACAAAGACTACTAATGGAAAGCCAGTCCCCAGGATGCAGACTCATTTCAGAATTTTTGCACTTGTAGCTCTTCGTTCAAAAATTATTCTGATTAAAATGAATGGGAAGTGTTGAGATAAAACAGGAGAGGTAATGACATACCAAAAAAATAAAATTGTATGCGCCTCCCCCACTCCATGACATAACATAGAGTACCTACAAAAATAGGTGGGCTTATTAGGCAAAGGCTAATTTACAAGGTTGAAAAGAAAAGGAATTAATCGACACTTCGCTCCATCAAGCTTTACTTCTGGCCTAACTACACCAAGTTTGCTCCAGCAGCTCCTCTCTTCTACCTCCCCTTAGTTCCAGATTATGTTTGGTCATCAGATTCATAACTCATGTACCCCAGACTTCCTTCCCATTTGCTGAATCCGTATTTTCAAGATTCTTATATTTTCTTACCCCAAACTGGAGGTCTGGCCTCATGTTGGCATGATTACTTGGGATGGTGTTCTTGATGCCCAACTTTCAGTACTAGACTTGCAGCTATAGCAGTTCAGCTAGATGAGTTCAGGTTCCTTCCCCAGACAAACATGGAAAACGTCAAGGGTATTTTCAAAGCATATAAAGTAACTCTTATCCAATATACAGCATTTAAGAAGTTTGCCAACTGAAATATATGGTCACTGTAGAAGAAGAGACTGATCCAGTACACATAATAGCTACATTATAACCTGATAAATCAGATATTCTCAAAAGACTTGTAAAGAGATACAAGAGAACAAACAGGAGGAACGGGAAGACTTTAGGTGAGCTTTTCTTTCTTTTTTTCCCTTTTTAGTTCATTGGACACTTAGAGGCATGAGATTAAAACTCGTGAAAAACATATCGACTTGCTGTGGTGACTCAAAAGTTGTCGTTTCTCTACTCAACTTTGCTGAAACACTTGATTCATGTTGTTCTTATTTAACCTAATTTGCATTGATTTAATCAGGGCTGGTATGCTTTAAATACATAATAAATTGGAATTCTGCAACTTAGATGACTTAGAATAGCTAAATTTCAATAAAGCTCATTTCAATCTGTTAATGTATACGGTTCTGCCAAGGGGTTTAAAACTAGAAAAGATGAAAACTTACCACATTAGAGGTGGGAAAGGCTTAAAGATACCATATAGATGAAACGATTAGCAGGATAATAATGCAAAAGGCAATGTGTGTGTGTGTGTGTGTGTGTGTGTGTGTGTATGTGTATATGTGTATATATATATAATTTATTTTAATTACAGCCTAGGAGCATCTTCTAAGTTCTGAGTAGCACACTTAGAAGAAAACTCACATATAAATCAGTGAATTTAATTTTATTTCCTTTCTTTCTTGCCAACACTCAACTCTTCTGCCTCGCTGTACCAACTCTACAAATCAAGTGACATCCAAAGTGGGACCTCTTCTTGCCCATTTGGCAGCCTCTGTCACCACTTTGCCAAGCAACCTGCATTAGGAGGATTTTTTTCCCCCTAGCAGCCCTGGGGATTGGGTGGCGCATACTCACAGTTCTCGCTGAATGGCTGGCGGCTGTTTAACTCTGCCTGCGCCTGCTCAACACCCCTCCCCCACCTCCCAACCCTTTAGCGTTTATGGCTCAATCAGCTGGCCTGCTGTCAGGAATAATTGTCTTGGCAAGAGGTGAAACCACTTGCTGGTGAATTTGTCTGTCTGTTAAAGTGTTCCGCAGCACCTTGGAGGTGCCAGGATGAAACCTGCAAATGCCCGATCCAGAATTAGGTAAGTAACAAGAGTGACAGAGAGGCAACCATCAAGAATGGCAAATAAATAAATTGCACTTTGAGGAGGAATAATAAAAAAAAAAAAAAAAAAAAAAAAAGAGGAAGAAGAAGAAAGAAAGAAAACCATCTGTGCGTCTGTGCCAGTTACAAGCTGTATGACCTTGGATAAACTGTGATGTCTCTTGGCCTCAGTTTCGTCACGTGCAAAATTAAGGGGGTTGATTTTCCAATGTCTCTTCTAACTCCTAAGACAGCATGTGATGTCTAGGACATTTCAGATTTGTGCTCCTTCCAATTAAATGATACATCTCAGAGATGAATGACCAGGACAGAGCTCAGATGAATACAAAATGGAATGATTCATGCCCCTGTTCATATGACTTTTCCTGAAAAGTACCACCAGTCTTTGGTGACTTTGATTCCATTGGTTGATCTCTTCAGCTTAGATGCTAAGGACCAATCCAGTTACTTGTCCAGTCTGTCTACCCAGGCTCTGGTAATCCACCCTCATTCCTATCAAAGTAAGCGCGACTACAGATAATGCCCACTGATTTTGAGTTCCTTAGAGGCAGAAATGATAGGAATTCAAAGAGCGGAGCTGGAGACTCACATTTGACTCTCCCTCTCATCTCCCTGTGCATCTTTGTCAAGAAGGAAGTGTTACCCACACTCACTTCCCGCAGGCTTTCTCAGCCATCTTAAGGATTTTGTTTAAACAGATGACCAACTGACCCTCTCCAGGTCAGACTCTCTCCATACCAGTTAGCACAAGGTGTTGTGTGTGGGGGGTGGGAGGTGGATGGGGAGCTCATTGCAAGGACTCCTATCTGTAAATGATTGTGAATAGAAAATAATGAGGCAAAGGCTTCTCTTCACACTTAGAGGAAAAAGTGGCACAATTTAATACAGTCTCAAAGCTTAATTACGGATGTGTGTACGGAGATGGGTAGGCTTCATTATGGCTTAAACTACCATATCCCCACACATTCACAGTCTTCTGGAGTGGAGTTCACTGCAGGGCCCAGTAATCACCATGAACAGCACAAGTCAGGGTTAGCCCTCCCCATGTCAGACAGCAGAATCGTTCTTTAATCCATCCTGTACCCCATAGATATCTGTGGAGCCTGATGAAGCCCCGCGGGGATCTCAGTCTCCCTGTACACAGACATACCTTTTTGCCACACTGGATCTCACACCACCGGGACTGGGATGGCTTCCCAAACTAGGTGGGTTTGTAAAGCATTTCCCCCATCCACCTCAAAAAAAGTGCTGGCTGACTGCAGAATTCCAGTGCCCGCAAGGGGGGAAAAAAGAAAAAAAGAAAAAGAAAGAAAGAAAAAGAAGAAGAAGAAAAAAAAACCCTTAGCCAAGCCCCAAATCATTGCCTTCCTGTGTCTTCTCTCAAGTTGCTTTTCTAAAGCAAAGGACCAAATGTTGATTTCTCTACAGATTCCTACGTATCTCTTACACGTAGACAGTTTTAAAGGGGAAAAGAATATATCCCCAAAAGGGAAGGGGGGAGAGCACAGACTATTTCAGTTTCCCACTTGGAAATATCTTGTCGCGGATGATGCTACCCCTACCTCCACCTCCCTCCCCCCTCCTTTTTTCTTTTTTTGAAATATGGACAAAAAAGCTGAAAGTGTTTTCCGTTTCATCAAAGAACATATATTACTTTAGTGGTTCGGTAAAATGTTGGTTTTATGCCCACCCCTTTTCAATCTGCCCATGTCTGAGGTGCTCGGGAAAGACGCACAATCGTGAGCAGCTTACGACACTCAGTGAGCAGTAGGTGCCTGTGCAAGCTCGCGCCGCACACTGCCTGCTGGAGGGAAGGAGCCCGGGCGCCGCTCGCCGCTCCCCGCGCCGCCGCCCGCACCTCCCCGCCGCCCGCCGCCCGCAAAGCATGAGCGAGCCCGCTCTCTGCAGCTGCCCGAGGCGCGAATGGCAGGCTGTCTCCGCGGAGTAAAAGGTGGCGCCGGTCAGTGGTCGTCTCCAATGACGGACATTAACCAGACTGTCAAATCCTGGGGAGTCGCGAGCCCCGAGTTTGGAGTTTTTTTCCCCCACAACGTCACAGTCCGAACTGCAGAGGGAAAGGAAGGCGGCAGGAAGGCGAAGCCCGGGCTCCGGCACGTAGTTGGGAAACTTGCGGGTCCTAGAAGTCGCCTCCCCGCCTCGCCGGCCGCCCTTGCAGCCCCGAGCCGAGCAGCAAAGTGAGACATTGTGCGCCTGCCAGATCCGCCGGCCGCGGACCGGGGCTGCCTCGGAAACACAGAGGGGTCTTCTCTCGCCCTGCATATAATTAGCCTGCACACAAAGGGAGCAGCTGAATGGAGGTTGTCACTCTCTGGAAAAGGGTGGGTAAGACACTTTTTAATTAAATTCTTTCCCGAAGATTTTTTTTTTCCTCCCTTTTCTTTACTGCAGCATCTAACATGGACCAAATCACCATCTCTTTGATCTTTCCGTGGCTGTGAACTTTCTATGCTGCCCAGCTTTCTGCATGCTTAGAGGTGAACGTGTGGTTTTGGGGAGGGGGGTCCTTCTTTATTTCTATGTATTTATTTGATTTTTTGCCCTTTTCTCCCCCTCCCCCGCTCCCCCTCCCTCGGAATAAAATATGATGTAGATTTCTGACCGAGCGCTTCCAATGGACATTCTCCAGTCTCTCTGGAAAGATTCTCGCTAATGGATTTCCTGCTGCTCGGTCTCTGTCTATACTGGCTGCTGAGGAGGCCCTCGGGGGTGGTCTTGTGTCTGCTGGGGGCCTGCTTTCAGATGCTGCCCGCCGCCCCCAGCGGGTGCCCGCAGCTGTGCCGGTGCGAGGGGCGGCTGCTGTACTGCGAGGCGCTCAACCTCACCGAGGCGCCCCACAACCTGTCCGGCCTGCTGGGCTTGTCCCTGCGCTACAACAGCCTCTCGGAGCTGCGCGCCGGCCAGTTCACAGGGTTAATGCAGCTCACGTGGCTCTATCTGGATCACAATCACATCTGCTCGGTGCAGGGGGACGCCTTTCAGAAACTGCGCCGAGTTAAGGAACTCACGCTGAGTTCCAACCAGATCACCCAACTGCCCAACACCACCTTCCGGCCCATGCCCAATCTGCGCAGCGTGGACCTCTCGTACAACAAGCTGCAGGCGCTCGCGCCCGACCTCTTCCACGGGCTGCGGAAGCTCACCACGCTGCATATGCGGGCCAACGCCATCCAGTTTGTGCCCGTGCGCATCTTCCAGGACTGCCGCAGCCTCAAGTTTCTCGACATCGGATACAATCAGCTCAAGAGTCTGGCGCGCAACTCTTTCGCTGGCTTGTTTAAGCTCACTGAGCTGCACCTCGAGCACAACGACTTGGTCAAGGTGAACTTCGCCCACTTCCCGCGCCTCATCTCTCTGCACTCGCTCTGCCTGCGGAGGAACAAGGTGGCCATTGTGGTCAGCTCTCTGGACTGGGTTTGGAACCTGGAGAAAATGGACTTGTCTGGCAACGAGATCGAGTACATGGAGCCCCATGTATTTGAGACCGTGCCGCAGCTGCAGTCCCTGCAGCTGGACTCCAACCGCCTCACCTACATCGAGCCCCGGATCCTCAACTCTTGGAAGTCTCTGACAAGCATCACCCTGGCCGGGAACCTGTGGGACTGCGGGCGCAACGTGTGTGCCCTAGCCTCGTGGCTCAGCAACTTCCAGGGGCGCTACGATGGCAACTTGCAGTGCGCCAGCCCGGAGTACGCACAGGGCGAGGACGTCCTGGACGCGGTGTACGCCTTCCACCTGTGCGAAGATGGGGCCGAGCCTACCAGCGGCCACCTGCTCTCGGCCGTCACTAACCGCAGTGATCTGGGGCCCCCTGCCAGCTCGGCCACCACACTCGCGGACGGCGGGGAGGGGCAGCACGACGGCACATTTGAGCCTGCCACCGTGGCTCTCCCCGGCGGCGAGCACGCCGAGAATGCCGTGCAGATCCACAAAGTGGTCACGGGCACCATGGCCCTCATCTTCTCCTTCCTCATAGTGGTCCTGGTGCTCTACGTGTCCTGGAAGTGTTTCCCAGCCAGCCTCAGGCAGCTCAGACAGTGCTTTGTCACGCAGCGCAGGAAGCAAAAGCAGAAACAGACCATGCATCAGATGGCTGCCATGTCTGCCCAGGAATACTACGTTGATTACAAACCGAACCACATTGAGGGAGCCCTGGTGATCATCAACGAGTATGGTTCGTGTACCTGCCACCAGCAGCCCGCGAGGGAATGCGAGGTGTGATTGTCCCAGTGGCTCTCAACCCATGCGCTACCAAATACGCCTGGGCAGCCCGGACGGGCGGCGGGCACCAGGCTGGGGTCTCCTTGTCTGTGCTCTGATATGCTCCTTGACTGAAACTTTAAGGGGATCTCTCCCAGAGACTTGACATTTTAGCTTTATTGTGTCTTAAAAACAAAAACGAAATAAAACACAACAACAACAACAACAACAACAAACCCACCCCACAACCTTCAGGACAGTCTATCTTAAATTTCATATGAGAACTCCTTCCTCCCTTTGAAGATCTGTCCATATTCAGGAATCTGAGAGTGTAAAAAAGGTACCAATCATTGATTTTTTTTTTTTTTTGTAAACTAAAATGTTTAAAATAAAATAGCATTTACAGTTTTTACAGACTGGTGTAACCTAAATGAATTGTTAACTGTGTTACAAGAAAAGCAACAGTTAAAATTTTGGGGAGGTAGGGTGCAGAGGGGAGTTGTCCAGAGGCCAGAGGGAAGATCCAGGAGCAAAGTAGTCAGATTCAATTTGAAATTTTAAAGAAGGGCAAACAAAGCTTATCAGATTAATGATTTATGTTAATATACTCCACGTGAGTAAGGACTGGAAAAAAGAAAAAGAGCAGGACCCTTTATATTATTGGGGCAGAGACAGTGCAATCTAACCACCTTCAGGCAAGTGAGAGGTGGACTGAGGACTGGGCATCATTGCTCAGCCTTTAAGGCAGAGAGCTTTGCAAATGGCTTTTAAAAGGAAGTGCCAGACAGTGTAACCAGTGTAACCTTAACATAACCATCTTTCAAATCAGATCAGAATCTCATCCCCAAATAACACCTGTTCTTAATTCTCCTGAGTCTTTGATTCACCAGACACAGTAGCATTTGTGCCCTTCCCATACCCTCCTGTGTTAAAGGGAACCCCTCAGCTCACTGCTGGCTGAGGGTAAGCAGGCGGAATCCCGATGTTCAGGGCTGAAAGCTGTGCTTCTGGAGCACATTGCTAAGACTGCAGCAAGCTTAGGCTCCCATCAGTGACAGCACATTCCTAGTTTCTATGGGGAATGAGGAGAAAAGCCTACCTCATGATGAATGCCTGCAGGGTAATGACTTGTAGCAAGAGACTTCAGGGGCAGAGGTGACAGAGCTGTGATGGGGGTGGAAAGAGTGGGAGAAGATAATCATTTGATCCTGTGTTTGCATATTTCTGAGATGGGAATAATTTGTTAGCCCGGGACAAAAAAAGCTGCCTCTTCTCAGATTGCCCTTTTGTATAATGCTTGCTTTCCCTGTTTCTTTCTTTTTTTCTTTTTTCTGTGTCTGGATTGATGATTGCTCCTTCTCACCTCTCATAGGTTTCCAAGTCCATCATTAAGATTTCAGTTTCTGTTGAACTAAGGGTGAGGAGGTGGTGGCAGTGGCAGTGGGTGGGTACAGAGAAGGGAAGGGGAAGGCTGTGTGCATTGGACGGAGGGGGTCCTTCATCAGATGACAATTCAAGCAAATGTATGATTGAAATAAACTGTCGTGAATGACAGGCACTGAAAACTGAACCAATGCAGCTCATGTCCCAAAGTCTTTCTCTTCCTTCTCTGATACTAAAGACTTGCATCTTTCTGTTTTTATTTTTCCTTTTTTAAGAGTGAAGCCCAAATAACAGGAAGAGGGATGAGGGGTGGAGAACCACACACTACCATTCCCCAAAATGCAAATCCCTCCAGCTGCCAACCTTAGGAGGCAAAATCAGCTTTTTGAAATGCAGAATGGCATCACCAGAAGGTTTCCTTAAGCTAAGGGTTGGTGGTAGGTTTCTTTTCTACCTATGGAGAAACCAGTATGCCTAAAAATAGTGCTTCTAAGAGTCTCTTTCTTTCAAGAGAAATATTTTGCAAATGTCTTTTAAGATGTTAAGCCCTGGGAGACAGCTTCCTACACACACACACACACACACACACACACACACACACACACACACACACACACCACCCTAGCTCATTTTTCCTGACCAGGAAGCTTCATCTTGCTTTATTTATAAATAAAACATGACAGTATAACACACATCATGCACATAAAGCCCATTCAGACTGTTAGTGTTCTGGAAGAGAGGTGCTTTGTTTGATAACTTTGAGGAGGGGGTTTTGGATTTAGACTAAGCATAATCATTTGGGTCTGCCTTTCTAAATAGCATATCACTCCGAGAGCAGGGGTAGCAGGAACAAGGTTCTCTCAGGGATGCACCTCGCCTCTATATTTAAACCCTACTAAAGCGACCTCCTCTAGAAGACAGCATACCTTTTTTAGGAGAAAAAAAAAATGTAGCAACTGAAGGAGAGCTCCTTGGATTCCGTGAACTTAACCATCTCATAGGAAGGCTACAGGAATCCAGCGCCCAAAGCTGCTCTGGCTTGGTGCATTAAAGAGCTGTGTGGGTGTGCTTATAGGGAAAGCTTCCAGAAGCAAAACCTTCCTGGCAAGCATCAGAACCACAGGTCCCCTCCTACCCTCTAGAAATCTGAATCTTGGAAACTGTAGTTTATCTCCTATCCCCAAGACAATTTTATCTTTCACTCTTCTTGTTTCAAGGTGGACATAAGAAAGGGAGAGAATAATCATGCTTTGTTTTATGCTACTCCCACCACCCTGCCCATGACTAAGTATCATGTATGTAGAAGATCTTAAGTCTGTGCACATTTCATGAAGAACCATTGGAAAGAGGAATCAGCAATCTGGGAGCTTAAGAGCAAATGATGACCATAGGAAGCTATGTTCTTACTTGGTGTGCGTGTGTCTGTATGTTTCTGTGTTGTATGTCTTTGCAGGCAAGCAAATGTTTTCTACACAAACAGGAATTTAGCTCACATCATTTCATGCCCATGTGCCTCTAGCTCTGGAGAATGGCGGGGGGGAGGGGGTGGGGGGGAACGGTAAGAATAAGGGAAAGCGGTAGTTTTAACTAAGGTTTTGTAACACTTGAAACCTTTTCTTTCTCAAATTAATTAATCTTTAAGCTTCAAGAAACTTGCTCTGACCCCTCTAAGCAAACTACTAAGCATTTAAAAGAGAATCTAATTTTTAAAGGTGTAGCACCTATTTTTTTATTCTTCCCACAGAGGGTGCTAATCTCATTATCCTGTGCTATCTGAAAAGAACTTAAGGCCACACTTCACGTCTCATCCTGGGCATTGTGATGGATTGACCCTCCATTTGCAGTACCTTCCCAGCTGATTAAAGTTCAGCAGTGGTATTGAGGTTTTTCGAATATTTACATAGAAAAAAAGTCCTTTCACATGACAAATGACACTCTCACAGTCTTAGCCCTAGTAGTTTTTTAGGTTGGACCAGAGGAACCAGGTTAAATGAGACCTGTCGTTTGCTTCACCCAGAAAGAAAAGGCAGTCCCTGATGCTCAGATCTTAGCCTTGCCATTAATAGTTGAGACCACCTACCCCACAATGCAGCCCACACTCCCAAGACTGCAAAGTTACCATCACAAAGAAAAGGTTATACCAGTAAAAGGAAATAGTCTTTGAAACCATTTAAAAATATTCTTCTGAGCTCATCAAAGTATAAGAGTGCCCTACCTTTTCTCTCTGCCTTCAAGAAGGCAGACATTTGGTATGACTTAGCATCAACAACACATTTGTGAATACGTGTAAGTCATTAGAGGGGCAAATGCCACTTGTTATTCCTCCCAAGTCTTCCAAGCAACTACACACAGACCTCTCATAGCATTAGGGGTCACCTGTGTTTCTGGCTTATTTTAGTCAACTTGTCAGCAAGTTTGATGCCTGGTCTATCTGACATGGCCCAGTAGAAGAGGACATTGATGGATCACGTGGGATGATAAAAGGAATGTACATACCCTTCTCACAGAGAAAATTATCAAAGAACTAAAAATTATATCTGTTTTGGAGCAAGAAGATCATAATGTTTCAGGGTAGTCAACATAAACATCAATTATCTCCTCTAGATGAGTGGTAATGTTAGTTGATTTGGGTCAGCCATTGACAGAATGTCAAATAACAAGGAATTTGCTAGAATATGACCATTAAATAGGCTTCTGAAATATATTTTGAGAGAGGTTTAGGGATTTACGCACACACTCTTACCTCTCAATCTATTTCTGTATATGTAACAGCACACACACAAACATGCACACCTATATGTGTGTGTCTATGTATATGTCTATAAAACCATATACAACCACAAACACATACATATATAACCACATACACACACATACACACACACGTGCAGGCAGGTGGCCACATTATGTAATTAGTGGCCTTCTGTCACTAATTACGCTAATACTTTCTCCTTGATAATCAAACTTTTATTCAGGAAATGATCTGATAAAATCTGTGACAGTTAATACATAATGGATTGATACGGCTGGTGGTATTTTCAGGCATTAGTTAATGAGTAGGTAGATGCTTTGCAGGCTGGGGAGCTTTTGGGCTCCTTATGCCATGGCAGAGTGTAACCTTCTGTCTAGTGGAAAGAGCCAGCAAATGAGAATATATTTTTTTGAGGATTTTCCACCTCAGGGTTAAGATACATACTTTTTCATTAAGGAATGCTCTATTTTTTTTTTTTTTCTTTTCTGGGATTCAGGAGGCAAAATTCTTACTTCTGATTGGGCGTCATCTCCTGGCTTTGCTCAACTGAACACAATTTCTGAAGCCCTTTGGTTTTTTACTCAAAGCAAAGGTCCTGGCTATTGTATTCTTACAGCTTAGACAAAGATATAAATGAGATGGAGAAATAACATTTGCTGAGCAGTCCCTGGTATGGTGCCTCTACCTAGATCACAGTAAGTGAGGGAGCTGCTAGCAACTTATCTTCACATGAAGAACCCGAGGCTTACAGAGGTCAAGTACACTGTGCAAAGCCAACCAGCTAGGGATTGGGAGCACTGTGATGTGTTAATTGGCTTGGTGGTCTTTCACTACTCCCTGTTTCTTTATTCCTTGAATGGTTGCCCCTCCACTTCTGCACCTAGCAAAGAACCTGGAACTAGATTGGGAACAGGAGACATGGTCAACACATTCTTGTTGAATGCCATGGGCACAATGCCCCAATCCGGGAATTCTGACCATGACTTGTTTGCTGTGGTGACTGGTAATTGGGCAATGCAGGGCTTTGCTAACAGAGGAGACTTCTCCAGGTTCCAAGGGAAGAAATGGCCAGTACATTCAGTTCAACCTCTTAACATAGGATTTTGGACTCGGAGAGAGTAAGGTATAGACATCCATATGTTATTGTCAGGGATTTATCTGCATTTCTTCCTTAGTGATTAAATGGATCACGTGTCCATGGTATGGTTCTCAACCAGGGGCAGATTTGCCACCCAGTGGACATTTACGTGTTTGTGTCTGGAGACACTTTTAATGTTTATGCATGGGTAAGGTGGTGCTTCCGGTATCCAGGGGGTAGAAGTCTGGTTACTGTGAAATATCCTACAAGCACGGACATCCCCCACATCAAATAATTATTTGACCTGAAATGTCAAGAGTGCTGAAGATGAAAAACGCTGCTGCATGATGGAAAGTAATGGTGCTGAGTTACCTAGACCTATTCCGTTTAAGTCTTTCTCTTGCCAGGTATCTGGAAATCTAAATTAAAAGCCCTCAGATTAGTTGATAATCAGCAAAAGGGCCTATAGTTAACACATGCTTCTCAAAGAACATATGGCAAAACTTAAATTAACTAGGACAAAACTAGTCAGAACCCTCAATTGACCCACTTTTTCTTTGGCACTACCTCATTTAGGAAACAGGAGAAAAAAAATTAAGTGAACAGCAGAGATTTAATTAACAAGAAGGAAAATGAGAAACCTGATATTCCTTCTAGGAGGGGTTCTGCAGTCTGAACAAATCCAATCCACGAGCCTGTGCCTTCTTCTTTCCCAACCAAAACTGTAATGTATCTGAGGTGGTGATGAACTTCTATTTTAAAAATCAGTGTGCTAAAAAATAAACGCTGAAGGGGATGGATACCTCATTATCCATGATGTGATTATTATACATTGCATGCCTCTATCAAAATATCTCACCTACCTCATAAATATATGCATCTACTATGTACCCACAATAATTAAAAATAAACTAAATACAAATAAGCTAGAAAAAAATCAGTGTGCTCAGTCTAGTAAGTAGGGTGGACATATTTAGGGAAATGATCTCAGACCTTAGAAACAGGTTAGTCTAGAGATACAAGAATTTTAAACTGAAATTCAGCTGGGGCCAGACAGGCAACACAGATGAGTGAGGTTCATGGGCAGGTGACATCATAAGTAACAAGAGAATTCACGTAAAAGAATAGAATTTACATTTGACTGGTTCTGGTTAGTCAGAACATTTCTGCAGGGCAGGTCAAGTGAGCTCTGGAAGAAATAGGGTCTAGAAGTCAAGGGTCATGGTCTTTAGACAGAATACTGCCATTCACATGCCTGGGATCATGTTACTCATCTTACGGCAACTGGTCTCTGTCTCTACTTTTAGAAGGATTCATTTAGGGATTCCCTAAGAACCTT